ACATGGCTAGTGGCAATGTAAATTAGTACAGCTATTATGGAAAACAGTATGGAGGTTTCTCAGAAAATGAGAAACAGTACTATAGCAATCCCATTATTAGATCCAAAGGAAATGAAATGAGTGTGTTGAAGAGGTGTCTGCACTCCCATGTTTATTGTAGCTCTAGTCGCGGTAGCCAAGATCTGGAATCGACCTGAGTGTCTATCAACAGATGAATGGACAAAGAAAATGTGGTACACATACATAATGGCGTACTATTCAGTCGTAAAAAAGAATAGAGTCCCATCATTTACAGCACCATGGAGGAAACTGGAGGACATTAAGTGAAATAAACTAGGCACAGAAGGAAATATATCACACGATCTCACTCATATGTAGAATCTAAAGAAGTTAATTCATAGAAGTAAAGAGTAGAATAACAGTTACCAGAGGCTAGGGAGGGGAAAGGGGAAAGGAATAGGAAGAGATTGGGCAGTACGTACAAAGCTACAGTTATATACGAGGAATAAATTCTGATGTTGCATTGCACATAAGGGTGACTGTGGTCGATAATATTGTACATTTCAAAATAGCTAGAAGAGAGGATTTTGAATGTTCTTACCACAAAGAAACGATAATGTGTGAGGTGACAGATAGGCTATGATAAATACCCTGAACATCACCTCGTATCCCATAAATACATAAAATTATTATGTAAGGACAAGAAAACAAAACATCAAGTAATGATAATAGAACAATTATGTATTTGTGAAAGAAAAATTTTTTTTAAAAATCCACTTACCTCTGACGTTTTTACAGAGACATTAATTTACAGATTATAGAAGTTAACATTATATTCTAAACAGAATTATGTGGTCTAATAAAATAAAAAACAAGATTAGTTCTCAAAAAGGGAATAAAATAATAATTGAATTTTATCTCCAAATAGCCCTGGGAAGTAAGCGGAAATGTACTAATATTTCCATTTTACATATCAAGGAAGTGGGGCTCAATAACCTCAAAGTCACACAGTTGGTCAGGGGTGGTGCCTAGAACTCAAATCTCAAGCCCTTGACTCCAGCTTCACCCTGGGAAAGGGGAAGTGAATACAAAGTGGCCCAGCATTGTATTGTCTCTGAATGGCCCGAACAAGAAAGTGACATCACCTTATGGAGAAAGTAGACACTATTCTTTGTAGAGTAAATGGATCCAAGGGAAGGAAATTTCCTAAGATTTTCAAGAAAGCCTAAACACAGGTTCAAAACAAGGAGTGCTTAACACATTCATTCATCATGTAATTAAGAAAATGCTGCAGCAGTCAGAGGCAGGCAACTCCATTTAAGCGCAAGCCCTGTGACACTTGCTCTCTGCTGGCCTGATCCTGATTTCCAGTCTGCTCTCTCAGGGCTTCAGGGCCCAGGAAACAGAAACAGTTGCCGGCTCTTAAAGGAGTCCTTCGCTTATGTAGAAGAACCTGACTGAATTTCACGATCTTTAAGATAGCTTCCAGTGTCAAAATGCTATTATTACCCAGAAAAGAATTGGCCTTTTTCTTTTCCTTTTTTTATTGCACTTCTCTTATTTGTACCTCAACACGTGTATGCACAGTTCCCTGAGCTGGGCCTCCTTTCCTGCCCTGAACCTGCTGGAATGCCTTTCACACTCCTCTCCAGTCCCCTACATTGTACCCTTTCTTCCAAAGCAACTCAAATGTCCCCCCACTTGTACCACATGCTTCTCTCACCTTCAAGATCTCCTCTCCTTTCAAAAATATTCTGTGTATTTTCCCTCTGACTCCTTGGAGTACAGGGGTGATTTTGTGCCTGTTACCTCCCTGTTCTGCCCTCGTGCCTGCTGGTTGCTGGACTTAGTCCAGATGCTCTGGTGCTGTGGGCAGTTAGTTAATAAGGGCAGGGACCAGGAGCAGCAGAGGGGTGGTTGATAGTAGCACTCAATCAATATGCATTTGATTTGATGGTCACAAAACAGCTTTGTGAATCTAGACACCTACCTTCTCACTTCCTGTTTCCTTTAGAGCCCTATTAGTGCAAATCCGCTGGGCTGGAAAGTTCGTGGCTGGGAGGTCCTGAGGTGTTATTCACAGATAGACCCCAATATTATTCAAGGGCTCACAGCCAGGCCATTTTGTTCTCCTGTTGGACAGAGACCTTCTTAAGGAATAACAACCTCAGACAAGGGTACCCTGATACTGTGACAAAATGAAACAAAACAAGGCCACTTCCTGGTTTTGCCTAAGCACAGACAAAAATAAGATCACTGCACACCACAAAATACTCCATCATAGAATTGCCCTGCTCTGCGACAGAAATTCTGCTTCCTTAGATCCACTCCCAAATCATCTAACCTAAGTCTAAATCCTGTAAATAGATCTTTGTAACATCCTCTGACTGAGACACTTTGCTGCAAGTGTGGAAAAGAGATCCTCAACCCTTAGGTATCCCTTAGCATAATCACAGCCGCTGTCTCACTGAGGTAGTCCCTTAGAGGAATTGGGCAAAAAAGTCAAAAGTATTGAGCCAAAGATCAAACTGCAGAACAGTTAAAGCCCCACGTTTCTGGTATATTGCAGGGCAACTACTCCAGGAATGCTGCAGGGTGGGCTTTCCACCCTGGTTAGCAGCCCCTCTGTAGGAGGTAGGCCCTCCCACAGCTACCCCTCACCCACATTCCTGCTATACCAAAAAGCTCGATAAAGAGGCCCGGAACCAGCAAGGGCCGGCTGACTCTGGAACAGACCCACTTCTGTGCCTTTCCTTAATAAACTCTTCTTTGGTCCCCGGACTGTCCTTGTCCCCTTTCCACAGACTATCACCCCATTTCTATCCCAGTTCAACAGCAACAAATAATGAATACAACTGTGTTCTTGCTGGTCTTGGGATGAGACGTGTTGATAGCTGTAGGCAGGCATTTAACTTTCACTGATATCTGCAGGGAGAATAGGGACTGATGACCCCATTTTTGGCAAGGGAAAACACCTCCAGAAAAGGGGAAAATCAGAGAAATAAGCTGAGCAAGGCAAAATAAAAACAGTTTAGCTAGTTTACTTCTAAACTAGCAGCTAAATTACTTATCTGAGCAATTCCTGCTTTTACTAGAAGCCTGGCCTGTAAGGGCTACAGCTTGCAAACACCCCTGATGCATCTATAAACACTCTGAAGGACACTCTGAAGCTGTAACAGATGTGCAAGGCCGGGGAAGGGACATTAACCGGTCATTCCCTGCCCAGTCAACAAACAAATACCCATTGTGGGGATTTGTATTATGGTCAGAGCAGAGATCAAGGGAACAGCTCAAGCCCTGAAATTTGGCCAGGAGAGCTTATACCCTAATCATGGAGGGATTAGAGCTTGTACCCTAATCATTCTTCAGGTGGAGATCTGAAGAAAATTCTTCTCTTCCACTGATTTTTCAGAGGAGACTGATGCTATCATGTCTGCTCCACAGAATAACTAGAGGGGTCTAACCTCCCCCAAGGAATCTATGTGCAGACAGGAGGCTGCCACCACACAAGGCTCAGGGTTTAGATTTCTCAAGGCTGCTCAGACCCTTAAAATTTGTTTGTTTGTTTGTTACTTTGAGACAGAGTCTCACTATGTTGCCCTTGGTAGAATGCCCTGGCATCACAGCTCACAGCAACCTCAAACTCTTGGGCTTAAGTGATTCTCTTGCCTCAGCCTTTCCGAGTAGCTGGAACTACAGGCACCTGCCACAGTGCCCAGATATATATATATGTGTGTGTGTGTATATATATATATATATATGTATATGTATATGTGTATATATACATATATATATATTTTTTTTTAGGTTGTAGTTGTCATTGTTGTTTAGCAGGCCTGGGCCGGGCTCAAACCTGCCAGCTTCAGTGTATGTGACTGGCTCCCTACTCACTGAGTTATGGGCATGGAGCCCACACCCTTAAAGTTAATGATTATAGATAGAATAAAAACGAATATGCTTACTCTGAGAAGCTGCTAATGTTTTTATTCCCTTTCTCAGCTTACCCTCTCAGCTAAATGAGAAAATAGCCTTCACTAAAAGCTAGGTGGAATAGTCAGGTTTGAACCCCACAAGCTGGCAGTGGTCCCCTATGTTCCCATCTTTGAAAATTCTATTCTGTGTATCCTGTGTCTTTATCTCTCCCAGCTTTTAACTTTATTTTTCCTCCGTTGATAGCCACCAGTTCCACAAGTTTTAAAGGACACTTCCCACTGGGTGGGACCCCAGCAGATACCCACAAACATCTTAGGGATATATATGTATTATTACCAGTTCACATACAAAGAAACTCTGGCTGAAAGAGATCAAGTGATTTAGCTGAAATCATACAAGGGGACTTTTAGTATAACCCTGATCATCTAATGTTAACGTCAGTCAACCGAATGTCCACAATACTATTCTGTATACCATTTTGCGTGTATAAAAATAGTTTACAAAAATGTGAGTAAATACAATGAACTGAAAACAAAGTCTCAAAAAGACGCAAGTAGAACAAGCAACAAGTAGGAGCCGGATACAGCGAGGAGCACCAAAAATCTCGGTAATCAAGATTAATTAATATTAATCTAATACTAATATTAGCATTTAGGGCAATTAATATTTAAAACACTTTAATATGCTAATTTTATGTAAGGCAATTAAAAAAATTAAATCAGCAAGCTAGGGCCCAAGGGCTGACGCCTGTTTGACTTTATGTCCCAACAAACATCTGTCTACCGGGTAGCATTGTGGGTGTCTATCCAGGGAAGTTAGCAAATGGAATGAACCCTGGCAGCCCCTGTGACTTGGCCCCTCTCCCATTAGCAACACTCGCGGCTAAGCCGGGCCTGCCGCTTTAAATACAGGAGGGGGGCGGGGCAGGCCGTTGCCCAGGGAGACAGACGCGCAACGCGCCGCAGCGCAAGCCGGAGAGAACCCATCCCCGGCGGCTGCTCAGGCGCCCGCTGCATTCCCGCTGTGATCCCGCTTCAGTCCCGCTTGGCTCCCGCTTCCCGCCAGCCATGGCCAACCTGCACTCTCGTCGCGGCACCAGAGGCCCCGAGGAGGAGGAGGAGGGCCGGAAGGAGATGGAGGAGAGGTTAGGAGCGGAGGACAACGAGCAGGTGGAAAAGGAGCAAGATGAGGAGGAGGAAGAGGAAGACGAGGAGGAAGACGAGGAGGAGGAGGAAGGGGCGGAGTTGGAGGAGTCGAAGAAGTTAGAAGGCCCTATGCGGTCGTACGAGGAGTACCTCTGCAAGGGCTTGGACTTGGGCGACGAATCGCAAGAAGTCCGCCTCCGCTTGGCCAGCGTCGTCAGCCCCAGCCTGAGCTCCACGTCGACTCCCATCCAGACGCCGAGCGAAACGAGTAGCCAGATGAGCCCGACTGCACGCTTGAGCTTCTCCTCCCATAAAAGTACCGTCCGGGCCCTGTCCCCCGCCCCCAAGCCTTGTCTACCTGGGTGTCTGATTTCTAAACGCACGCCCCACTCCACACACCCGCAGTCTATCTCATTCAATTCTGTCAAATGCCCTGAACTCTTGGCTGAGCTGTTGTGATGGTTCACAATTTAAGACATAAATGGAACCCTTAGTAAAAGGTGAAACTTGGGCAGTGCTGTATGGAACGTTCATTTTTATAACATTTCACAGGGTGTTACCTCTCCCCTCCCCTCCTCTCCTTTATCCACCCGCGCTCTCACGCACACGCACGCGCGCCTTCTTGTTGACTCCTGGAGAAGTCCCTGAAGGGTGCTATGCTACTAAATCCTTTTGCGTGTTTAGCTGTACTGAAGTCACTCCACTCACTTCCTTTAAAAGATAGGCAGAGCAGTTAGGTAGAGTCGGTTTCTCAAGCTTCCAATATTAATATTTTGGTCTGTATAATTCTTTGGGGGATAGAGGACTGTCCCGTGTATTATAGTGTTTTTAGCAGTATCCCTGGCTCTATCTCTGGCTATGCTGGCAGCACACACCCTTGTCATGATCAAAAATCTCTACAGACATTGCCATTTGTCCCGGGGCAGCCAAATTACACTTTTGAGAACCACTGATTATAGACAGAGCAGCTTACTTTTCAATGTTTCATTCAACAGGTTTTCCTAAAATATTTAGGAAAGACACGTCTGAAATGACTTTAGATAGGTAAGAAAATGGTTTCGATTTTCATATTATTATTTTTTGAAGTTGATAATACTTGCCTTTTGGATAAACATGTTGGAAAGTAAAATAATGCCATTCACAACTTACTTATTCAAAAAGGTTTTTTGAAAGATGTCTAACTGGTACACTTGGGAAAAGATAAAGGCAAATCCTCTGCCTGTCTGCAGCTTATTACCTCGCTGTAGAAATGATTGACTACTTACCAATGTAACATAAAAAATCATAATAAATGTGTGCCATGCATTCAATGAGTGCTGTGGAAGTTTAGAATATATGCCTCTATTGGCTAAATTCAAGAGTGATCATGGATACCTTTTGCAGAGGAGAGTGGAAATTATGGCTTTTCCTTTTTCTCTCTTCTGTGTATTACTATTAGCCTTCAACTACTTTAACTATAATAGAAAGATACCAGAAAAACATCTTTGGAAATCTTTCCTGAAATCTCAGCATCAAACTAAATCTATGATCTTGAATTATTGTTTACCCTAACTTTACTTTTATAAGCAACTTTTAAATTCTTTTTTTTTTTTTTTTTTTTTTTTTTTGAGACAGAGCCTCAAGCTGTCCCCCTGGGTAGAGTGTCATGGCAT